ATTAATGGAGAAATCACTTCGCTAGTAGAACATAATGTATGCATTAAAATACTGTTAATCCATTGAATGATGTGATCCTCATTTATAAAACTGTTGTCAGATGTTTCTAGTGTATATTTTTTAAGTTAAGCGAGTACTTTCGAAGACCATGTCTCCATCCTCAGGCTGTATTTTTTTTCCTTTAAAGTTAAAACTTGAAGACGAAATAATTGTTTGTAGACCGAAAGATGTTTTTTTAAGAATGTGCTGTTTATTGACGGTTGTACAATATCGGAACGTGCGAATCGCTAAAGTTAAAAATTTCAAGTGAGAATTTTCATATAAATTTTGTAATATGTGATAAAAATAGTTTTAAGGTATGTTATGTTAATGGGTTAAATTGCCCAATATCAGTGATAGAGCGTGTCTGAAGTGGACACCGAGGTCAACACCCAGCGGTCTTCCATGCTTAAACGTAATCTTCAGTGTCCACTTATATTAAGATATAAATACCTTAGCAACTTAAGTTTTACCCATCAGCTCAGGGATCGTCAGGCTAGGTTATATTTTTATAATTATGAATTGTACCTGAGTATCTCTGAGTTTAATTGTGTAGCTAACATCAATTTCAAATATGAACGCAATTTATATATCATACTTATTATAAAACCCAGGTTGTGTGTGTGTGTGTGTGTGTGTGTGTGTGTGGGTGTGTGTGTGTGTGTGTGTGTGTGTGTGTGTGTGTGTGTGTGTGTGTGTGCGTTTATATATTGGATCGGATTTCCTACATTTTTCAACCGATTTCAACAAAACTTCACAGGACTACGTAAAATTACATTGCGGTGGTTCTTTGCAGGAAATCAATTTGAAAACACGATTAAGAGACATCGCGAGAATGAAAAGGGACAACTCATATCGAGTTATACTTATTATAAACCAGGTTGTGTGTGTGTGTGTGTGTGTGTGTTTATATATGGGATCGGATTTCCTACAACCGATTTCAACAAAACTTCACTTTTTTTGGCAGGTAGTGTTTCTTATTGCCTTGCACACTTTTTTCTTTATTTTTACATTCAGAATGCTTTAAAAATTCCATTTACAAGACAATTGTTTATAATAAAATTCTATTCAATCGGTAGACTCATAATGATTGAAAACAATGTTTTTTTTTGAGTTTGGGTTTGACCAATTCGTAAAAAAAACAAAAAAAAAACTAATTAAGACATGCGTGTCCGTCAGCCTTAAACAATAATCTTTGTCAATTTTATTTTTCAGTCTTTAGGATGGTCGATACTTGATCTATCTCTTACTGTTACATCCCCGGGCAACGCTGGGCTCTACTGCTAGTATTATATATTTATGACTCTATCGTCTATTTCGACTAATGAGGATCCGACAACCTCATTATTATGTTTGCGTTGTATGTGACTCTTCAGTCCCGCTAGTGAATTGCTTACGTGTCCACATATTGAGCAAGAGCGAGCGAGCGAGCGTCTCGGGACACAGCAAGAGAAACATTTGCTGACGTTTTCGCCGTTGTCACTCGTCTTTTAGTCGACTGATTTCGAAATTTCCGATACCATTCTGTCACAAATAGACCCAGTTATTTCTAGACATCCCAACTCGCTCTAAGTCAGTATGGCGTAACATTGACAGCTGAGATGTAACTTTTAGCTTGTCTTTTTTACCCGGGCCATGGCCATCTAACATTATTTTGTCCACTAAATCATGCAAAAATGAATGATTTCAACAGATATATTTACCAAAATTGCACCAAAATACTTTGAAATATGAAAGAATAACTGTCTATATTTCTGAGATGAGGTATTATGTACACTATTTAAATTATTTAGACTATTGTCTTCATCTTTGTCGCCATATTTATTACAACCTGAATAAGACTGGAGCGTACAACGGCCGAAACATTGTAATAAATATGGCGACAAAGATGAAGACAATAGTCCGAATAATATAAATAATGAAAGAATGAATTTATTCAATAAAATCGCCATTAACGTCAACTATGGCCACCAGATGATTTCGGAATCTCCTGTATATCTTCTGGACTGTCTCTTTGTTTAATTTGGTGAATGCTGCCATAATCCTTGCCTTCAGTTCATCTTTGGTGTTACAAGTAGTTTTGTTTGTCGTTCGCTCAGCTGCATCCATCACATAATAACCAAGGGTGTTGCAGTCTAGGGAGTTAGGTGTCCAGATGTAAGAGGTGATGTAGTCGCAAAAAAATGTCTGACAACCATGACTGGGTTCTCCTGCTTGTGCAGGATTGTGCAAAGTCCTATTGGCAGACATAGGGTCTTCCAGTAGCCACCCTCTTCATCCAGGGCAGCACTACCTCCTCCAGACATTGATGTAGCCCTCCGTTTTGAGGCTGAGCCCCTCACCAACAAATTCGGGGGTTATTTTCTTAAATGAATGATCAGAGTAAGTTTTCCGAGATGCCATACCTTCGTAATCACCATTAGACTCAGCCAACTCTTTCCGAATCCTCTGCACTCTCCTCAGATTGACTCCCAAAGACTTGAAATGTTCGTATTGGAGCTTCTGGCATGAATGCCAAGCAGTAAAGCATGTCGTTTCCAAATTTCTGTGGGAGCGAATTGCATCATTGTACTCTTTTTCTTATAGTCGGTGCGCAACTGACCCTACTATAGTGTGCAGTCGACAAAATCAAAAACGAACTACACACATGCACAAAATTAAAAATATAAAATGGTAACAATTTACCCATCATACCCTGTACAACAGCATTTATAGAGTAGATAAATTGATAGATGGAATCAAAAGTTCAAATAGCTTTTGGAAGGGGAATGATTTATCTCAAGTTACGTTTACAGAATATAATGTTTGCGCATAAAAAATATACCAAGGATAAAAACTCATCAGAAAAGATCTAGTGCCTTCTGTTGGAGGAACCTCTTTCTGACTGATCATGTCTTAAGGTTTTGTGGCCAATTCTCATTACATTTGGCCAACTGCAGGTTATTAAAGCTCTTTAACCCATAGTCGGATATTGCGGTTGAAGGCTATAGGCCCATTTCTGTTCTGTTTACCCATAGCTGAGAGGAGAAGAGTTGAATTCAAACCTTAGGCAATGTTATACTAGAACATTACCTATTCTATTGTAATAGACTCTCCCACACATAATAAATAGTAGTAGTAGTAGTAGTAGCGGTCGCCAGTTGGGCTCAGTGGCGTTGAGTGAGTCAGTCGATGTCGGACATTGAAGTATCAACCATCACAGCTGCGTCATTAATTATTATTGCAATTTCCTAACGTTTTGTACATCAAACCTAATTTAGGACGACTTAGTGAAATACAAGCCTCCACTGTGAAAACTATTCTACAACAGGTAAAGACTTTGCACAGTGAATGTAACGGACTTTACTGGAATTCGAACTCAGTTCTCCGATTTCTCAATCCGAGCAGCTATCCATTACTCTGTCGTGCATCTAGCACTCATAATGGCACATTAAATAGAAAAAGGAAAATACTATGGACACGTGCTTGTATTTCAATGTTGTTGGCTGGTTGATTTTGTTTAGCGGCATATCAACCTCTATGGGTTATTTAATGCCGTAATCTAAATGTTTTTGCCTCTGTGTTGAGTCTGAGGCCCTCACCAACAAATTCGGAAGTTCTTTTCTTACCGGAACTTTTGCGTAAATTTAATTATCTTGGGAGCTTTTAAGTAATAAAAATGATGTTATTCTGCTTTCACAATTGAATACATGGTAGATGATACTCAGCTTTTGTGCATATAAATGTTTATGTGGACATAATTATCATTTGTGCATATAAATGTTTGTGTGGACATAATTATCAAGTGATGATGTTGAAACATTCAACATTATCACTTGATAAGACACCAGAGGTGTTGAAACAAAATGGCTATTTTTGTAGTGATTTTATAACATATTTATGTTTAATTTTTTAAATAAATAATTATATATATATATATATATATATATATATATATATATATATATATATATATATATATATATAAAGGAGAGGATAAAGTTGTTCCAACGAAGAAACGTGTATATTTAAACAGAAAAAAACCGCATACGCTTTTGGTTTATAATGTGGATTCTTTAAAAATATATATTATACGTTATTTTCCATATTTTTGCTACACGGGTTTCCGATCTCGCGACCATCATCAGGCATCATTAAAAGGAATAAATTTTCCTTATGTTTTCCAATATTAAAGCATCGTGCGTAGTAGTAACCCAAATTTTTTGGACTTGTGGCGAAAGTATTCTTTTGCTTATGGGTAATTATGATTGGTCAGAGAATGGCCGAAGGAAGGAGGTTCTTATTTTTTTTATGATCCCTGTATCTTGTTATACCTATCTCCATTTTTATGCATTATGTATCCGTGTGTGTTTTATTAGTATGTGTATGTATATTCCTCCTCCATACATATATATTGTTTTATTATAAGGAATTAGTATCTATCTATCTATCTATCATCTATCTATCTATCTCTCTCTCTCTCTCTCTCTCTATATATATATATATATATATATATATATATGTGTGTGTGTGTGCGTCTGTGTGCGTGTGTTTGTGTATCTTGTGTTTGTCATATAACACAAACATAGATTTTTCTACATGACAAAGTCACACGCGGACAGACAGAGAATAATCATAGATTATAATTATGTAATTATGGATTATTCAATAATCCGCAAATTGGATAGTGCCCCAGATTAAGGGATCAGAGAGGCGAGTTCTAATCGAGTCCGTAACATTCACTTGCGCTCCAGTGCCCTTGTTAAAAGTATGAATCCAACTCTTCTCCCCTCAGCTATGGGTAAAATAGCGGGACCGCTTGGACCTATAGCCCAGAAAAAGTAGAGCACCTGAAATCAAAACGGGAATTTTGGAGTAGGAACAGAGAACGACCCGCACCATATCAGGTTGTTTTCGGCTGTTGGTTAAGAACTTGGAGGGGGAGATGAGCAACGCAAAGCTAAAAGCCCAGTGATAGGATTATGAGGATAAAGAATGAAAGCAACATCAAGCCGGCTCGACAGACCAGCCTGGAGGAGGTTGTCTGGTTTTTGGCCTCAGTCCCCGAAACCACAACGATTGAAGTAGTCGATCATATCTATCTATCTATCTATCTATCTATCTATCTTCTTTTTCTATCTATCTATCTATCTATTTATCTATCTATCTATCTATCTATCTATCTTTTTTTATTCATATCTATCTATCTATCTATCTTTTTTATTCATATCTATCTGTCTATCTATCTATCTATCTTTTTTATTCATATCTATCTATCTATCTATCTATCTATCTATCTATCTATCTTTTTTTATTCATATCTATCTGTCTATCTATCTATCTATCTATCTTTTTTTCATATCTATCTATCTATCTATCTATCTATCTATCTATCTATCTATCCATATCTATCTATCTATCTATCTATCTATCTGTCTATATTCATATCTATTTTGTCATTTTATTTATTTATTGTTAACTTTGCTAGGAAAGGGTTGACATTTTTATGTTTCGAAAGGGAAATCACCACGAAAATTCATTTACACACTCCCCATTATTCGGCACAAAAAACAATCTGAAAAAAAATCAGAAAAAATAAACATCCTTTTCCCAATCTACACCAATTCCCGATAAATTTGTTTTTGTTATTATTTGTTTGGGCAGTTTGTCTATTCACGTACGAGCGTAGAAAAGGGTTTTAAAGAGTCATTCGTATGGATGATCTAAACGCCATTTCCTTCCAGAGCTGCCGGATGACCGCCACATGAAAATTTGTTTATTTTAATAAACAGCTAAACCAAAGTTTAGTAATCTAGTATTGCACTTAAATCAATAAATCACAGTACCATAGTGTAAAGAGCATTAGAATAGGTACTATGGAAATATTTAAAGAAAATGCACAAGGGAAGTACATTAGAGCGGTACGAAAGAAACTGAAGGCAAGATGCCAGGTCAGGAGTAATAACATTGCAGATTCCTCTTTGTTTTTTATCAAGAATATCTAAATATATACCAGCAACACCTGAGCAGATGTAGCAGCAATATTCAAAGCAAGGACGAATGGTGGGTTTATAAATATGTAAGATAGAATCTGACGAGAAAAATTAGTTAGCACGACACAAGAAAACTTTCCTAACAGAAACTGATGTCAGCGGAAATCGTTAGTCAAAGAAGGTGCAATTAATCACTCTCCAGGAGGTTAGCATCAGCCATAATGATCGATTCTCTTTGATTATCACGAAAAAGATGCACTAAATTCGCCGAAGGGTAGATGCCCATATATATATATATATATATATATATATATATATATATATATATATATATATTCGACTCTCCCGTCGTATGCGACGTATGAGGATCAAGCAGCCAGACACCTGCACATGTGATCCGATTATAGTAGTGAAGGCTTTGTGCAGAATCATCCACGCATTTTGAAAGGCCGAATACAGAGAATACGTGCCACAAGGTCCCCAAACGACAGTTCGCAGGTTTTGAAGTCAGGTTGTCCTTCGCTTAGACCAGTTGCCATCCAAGGCTATAGAACCCAGTCACTCCTGCTATTTAGAGAAGAAGAGGTTTTATACCTTTCCCAAGGGTATCAGCACGTAAATGAATGTAATGGATTCGAACGGAATTCTCCGATTTCTCAATCCGAGCCGCTAATCATTACTCCATATACGTTGGCGTGCCTTATATATATATATATATATATATATATATATATATATATATATATATATATATATATACATATATATATATAACCTACAACCTATATATATATATAATTAAATTTTTATAATTGTGTCTGATGATCTGGCGTCCTTTAAAGGCTCTGGTGAAATAAATTATTATAATGGTACCTTAAAAGTGGTCTGTTTTTCTTTTAAATATTAGCTCTGGATTTGTTGAGCTCTCAGGATTTCATCATTCTTGGGATTATCCATACAGATTACCAAGTTCTTCATAACTTATATATATATATATATATATATATATATATATATATATATATATATATATATATATATATTCTATTTACTGTTATATATTATTTTAATAGATACAATTTATTTAAGTATTTGCTCTGTTTATTTTTTTAATTAAACAATAATAAATTAAATAATTGTCGGGCTGTCCATTGTCCATCTCATGTATTGTCATTGTTTACGTTAAGATGCGATTCGTGTGGAGACATGATCGATCAAGAAAAATCGTCGGAGATTGTGTCTTTAAAAACATTAATTTGGACATTGATACTCAGGATCTCCTCTACAGATAAGTCGTATTGCACGTTAGATCAAATGACGGTTCCGTGTAGGGCACAGGTTCGATTCCTGTTGGAGAGCGCATATTTTCTACGAAATTTCTGGAACATTCAGGCCGGTAAATGTTTAATTCAAAAAAAAAAGAAAACAGACCATTTACTTGAATAAATTATCTATTAAAATAACGTATAAACAGAAAATATAATAAATAATTGTCGGATTTAGTCAATTTCATTATATATATATATATATATATATATATATATATATATATATATATATATATATATGTGTGTGTGTGAGTACGTGTCTATTAAAATACTGGAGTGCATAAAATACTAGTCCAGCGGTCGGCAACGTCTGATAGGCGCCACAGGTGGCACGCCAAGCAATTTCCAATGGCACAAAGCCGCAAATGACATCACGGAGTCTGAACCAATAGCTATTACATCGCTAAGAAGATATTTAGCTGTTTTAATTTTAATATATATACTAAAGTATATATATTAAATAGATATACTAAAGTATATATACTAAAGTATATATATTACATATTACTATATAAAATATATTGTAGAACAGATATATAGTCTTTGACTTACGTATAAAAATGCGTATTCTTTTGGCACACTGAATGTTTTTAAAACTCTACGTCGGCACATAGCAGAAGATTGCTGACCTCTGTTAGTCTATAAAACGAAGGAAGAGTTGCGAGCCTCCTCAAGATGGTTTATGAAACTTAATTCACATAAAGCATACGTTCGATAGAATATGAAGGCAAACTCCATAACTCTCTCTCTCTCTCTCTACACATATATATATATATATATGTATAGATAGATAGATAGATATGAACATGGATAGATATGAACACAGTCAGGTGTGAACATAGATAGATAGATAAATAGATAGATAGATAGATATGAACAAAAAAGATAGATAGATGGTTTAACAAAATAGATAGATGAATATCTTTATATATATATATATATATATATATATATATATATATATATATATATAAAAGTGAACATAAAGTCAACACTTAGAGGAATCGACAGTCTGTTTTCATATATGCAATCGTCAGAACATATGTGGCCTGACGATTGCATATAGCATGAAACAGATTTGTAATGACTTCTATGGAACTTTATATTTAAAGACATCTCTGATATTGAGCACTTTATCCATAAATATAGCACACCTTAAGACTATATTTCTTTATATATATATATATATATATATATATATATATATATATATATATATATATATATATGCATTTACAGAAAACCTTGTTTCCTTTTAATTGAGCCTTTGAACCAACTTAGTTGAGGTTTACGTATATATACATGTTTTAATGATAATAGTAATATCTGACATTTTCCTTATAAGGAAAATTTGGTATTCAATGACCGAGCAGCAAGTACTGTTTTTCGTGGACATTTATAAATTCTTTCTCTTAAAACACTTTTTTAGGAGCTTAACAAGTCAGTAGCATTTATCGTAACTTTCCAGTATTGATGGGAGGCTATCCTTCCTAACCTTTTATTTGAAGTGGTGGAATGTTAACATCACGATTATGTCATCATTTTCTCTCTAGTTAAATTTTAGTATATATATATATATATATATATATATATATATATATATATATATATATATATATATATATATATATATATATGTGAGAGAGAGAAGAGATAGAAAGAAAAAGATAGAGTAAGAGACACGGTTTGCGATGGGTAAATTGTCGCCATTTATATATTTAATTTTGCGCATGCGAGTTCTTTGTTTTTAATTTTATTGGCTGTACAGTATAGTAGGATTAGTTGGGCAACATCTGTGAGAAAAAGAGAACCATGGCGCAATTCACTTCACCAGAAATTTGGAAACGATTTGCTGTACTAATTGGTATTCACGCCGGAAACTCCAATACGAACGTTTCCGAGTGTATGAGTGTCAATCCGAGGATTAGTGCAAGAGGTTTCGGAAACAGTTGGATCGGTCTAATGGTATTTACGGTGGTACGGTAGCTAGAAAAACTCACCAAAGATGAACTGAAGGCAAGGAATATGGCAGAATTCACAAACTTTCTGGAGATTCTGGAGATTCCGAAGTCGTCTGGTGGCCATGAATGAAGCCAATGGCGATTTTATTGAATAAATTTACTCTTTAGCATTTCAAGATATTTTTGTGTAATTTTGGTAAATTTTAATCCGTAAATTTTAATCTGTAAATTTTAATCTGTTAAAATGAGATGTCTGTGTTATTTTTATTTTTCCGTAATTTTGACGACAATTTATCAATCACCCCTGTACATGCAGTTGTGGACAGAATTATTCACCCCCACTGAATATTTGCATATTTTCTAAGGAAATTGTCATTTTTGCAAGTACTGACTGAATTTAAAATAAATAGTTGATTCCGTATTTAACTTTTATTTTTCAGAGTTATAGATCTTTCTAAAAATTGGTGCAGTCCAAAATTATCACCCCACTTATAGAAATTATGAAATAATAGTGTTCTATGGCAACTGTGATTTTTTTTGCTTAAATTGACATTTAATACAAACACCTTTGAAAATAAAATAATATTGACCTGAAACTATAACCCTCTTAAATGTAACAAAGAAAACAATATATGAGTGCCACGTACCACGATAACTCATTCGTTCTGCAACCATGGCGAAGACGGCTGAACTTGACAAGAAGGATCGAATGGAGTTAGTTGATGCGTACAAACAAGGTGACTGATATACAACAATTTACAAGTGTTTAAATGTTCCTAGAGCGACAATAGCATTATCAAGAAGTAAAACAAGACTCATTGTGTTGAGAATAAGTTAAGGACTGGCAGAAAAGAGTTAATTTCTGAGAGAATGGAAAGAAAAATTGTTAGAGATGTCTCGAAGAATCCTCACATAATGACAAAGAACAGTATCAATGATATAAATATATCAAGGTTGAATGTATCGACCAAGACAGTCACTAGATACTTTCATCGATCCGGACTTCGAGCTTGTCGGCCAAGGAAAACTACCTTGTTTAAGGCTAAACGCCTAAAATGCAGATTAGCTTATGCTAAAAGCCATCTAGAACATGGGAGTAAATATTGGATCTCTGTTTTATGGTCAGATGAAATCAAACTAGAATTATTTGGTCACATGAACTCCCGTGATGTATGGAGTAAAGTGAAAAATACCTTCCTTACAATTAAGCACTGTGGTAGGAATATTCTGTTCTGGGGATGTTTTGTTGCGTCTGGACCAGGGTGTCATGGATAAAGAGCAGTATTTGGCTATTCTTATGATAATATAAAACAAAGTGTACGAAATTATCTTTGGGGCTTCACTGGACGTTCCAGCATCACAATGACCTGAAACACATTGGAAAAATTGTTACAAAAACCTTAGATAACAAGCAAAATTAAGGTATTGGCGTACCCCAAACAAAGTTCTAACCTAAAACCTATTGAAAATTTATGGTCATTTTTGAAGAAAAAAGTAAGAGAAAGAAGTCCTTCGAATTTTGGGAAACTAGATGCTATTGCTAAGGAAGAATGGAGCAAAATACATATCAGTATGTGTAATGAACTTGTAAGGAACTACCAAAATGATGAAAGGCAATAATCAAGAATAAAATTGAAACAATTGACCATTGAGACAAGAGGGCCAATAATTTTGTCCCATGTCAAATGTTTTTTGGCTGTTTTTTATGTTATTGTTTGACATTAAAATAAAAATTTTCTTGTGGGCATCACTGCACATACTTTCAAATCCATTATTTCATCATTTGTGAAAATATACACACGAAGTTTCCATGAAGATGTGAGGGATTACAGCTTTATTTGTAATTATGGAAGGCAATGAATTAATCTGTATAACACATATATATATATATATATATATATATATATATATATATATATATATATATATATATATAAAGCTTATTATTAATATTATTTACTAAGTTTTTTTATACAGCACCAAACCATGTGTGTGTTCCTGCGAGATTAGCTTGCTAAGATTTGCACCGAAGACATTAACCCTGGGAAAAACACAAGAGTTGGATAGAGAGCGAAGACCAAATTAATTAGAAGTAAGCCACGGGATCTCTTGAATAACCACCGCTTAATGTCAGGCGTCCACTACTACTACTAATAATAATATTATTATTATTATTATTATTATTATTATTACATATACACTGATACATAGTAGCTGTAGAAAAAAATGAGGGTTTTTTTCGTTTTGGGGCGAATTGGTATTTCTGATATGCGATCCCAATCAAAGTAACTGAGCTCTATGAAAAACGCTTGTTCACAGTATCAACAGGCACACTATAAATCGTATAATGATTTACGTTCTTATTTATCCTATAGGACTCTGAGTTTTATTTGTTTACCTACAAACTCAATTTGTTTCTGTATATCTATCTCAATCTCATCACATCTATCTATCTATCTATCTATCTATCTATCTATCTATCTATCTTAGTCCTTTTCTATCTATCTATCTATCTATCTATCTATCTATCTATCTATCTATCTATCTATCTATCTATCTTTTGTCGCATTTATCCTGTCGTAGTCTCTCCATCTTGGTTTATTCATATATAATCTCACTTTATCATTATTTACCAATCTCTCTCCATATATATATATATATATATATATATATATATATATATATATATATATATATATATATAAAATAAAAGAAAAAAAACAGTAAGATATATAATCCGGTGTTCTTATAGGTATTTTTTTTTTACAAAATAGTGCTCGATGTAAATTTACAGAGGATTAATATTATAAATTAATTGATTTAAAATATGTTTTTTCCGCTACATTTTTGAAACATGGTTTAGAATTGTGTAGCGGAAAAAACATATTTAAATCAGTAATTATATATATATATATATATATATATATATATATATATATATATATATATATATATATATATGTGTGTGTGTGTGTGTGTGTGTGTGTGTGTGTGTGTGTCTGTTGTTCATATCTGTTGGTTTCCACCTCTTTTTATATTTATATCCGATTCCATCTCTCTATTTTCTTGTGAGATATTTGGGCGAAATGTTATCCTCGGTTCCACCAGTCAGAACTTCACAGATAGGATCCGTACACTGAGGCGATTCGTTTTCATTTCCATCTTCCCTTGAACTGTTGCTTTATGCTATGGACTCCTGAGAGGATGCTCTCTTTACAATAAACTTGTTTAATAAGTCTAGCTGTCTGGAGTAGCTGATTCGACTTGCACTGAATGAACAATACTAAAACATATCTGTCTCTACATATCTGTCTCAATGTGTTCATATCTATGTATCCGCGTATCTCCGTTTGTTAATTATCTATCTATCTATCTATCTATCTATCTTTATATATATATCTGTTTATATATATATATATATATATATATATATATATATATATGACTGTTCATATGTATTTATCTGTTCATATTTATCTATGCATATTTTTCTTTCTAGTTATTCATATTGATCTATTCATGTCTACCTATTTATTCTAATCTACCTTTCGTATAAATCTAATCATATCTACGTATCTATTCATATCTATCTATCTATGCATATCTATCTATGTATTCCTATCAATCTATTTAGATCTAATTTTATCTATCAATTCAGATCTATATATATATCTATATTTTATATATATATATATAGAGAGGAAATCATACAAAATCTCATATTTTATTATATACTTTGATACTTACAAGAAAAGTGGTAGTAAAATTAAAATGTCTGAGACAATTTTTCTTTTCAAAAGGTAGCTAAGTTTTCACAAAGCTTCATTCCCACCATGTCTGATAGTGTGAATAATAATCGATTATAGTTTATGCGTGTCCACACACGAACACACACGAACACACACACACACACGAACACGAGTTATTCGGGGGTTGGAAGGTATTGAAAAGTACTCGGCCCAAACATCAAACTTTTTCCATTTTTTTTTTATATTTTTTTTTTTTTTTTTTTTTTTTTGCAAAAAAAAAATCTGATGTTTAGCCATTTACTGAAGATGATCGGGCCGAGAAAATTCAGCTACTCAATCTCTCTCTCTCTCTCACACACTCCTCTCCCTCTCTTTCCCTCTCTCTCTCTCTCTCTCTCTCTCTCTATATATATATATATATATATATATATATATATATATAAAGAGAAAACTTATATAATATTTTTCTCTGATTTTTTGTATATTTCAATTTTTAATTTACGCATATTGACGTAATTTTTAGTTTACGTATATTTTGTACATCCAGTATGTGTAAAATTACATGCACACGTATCGCTGCACGCACGCACGCGCGCGCACACACACACACACACGAACACGTTAGGGCACGTGCGTGCGCATATATATATATATTTATGTATGTGTATATTTCAGTTTGAGATTGATCTCATCTATCTCCCTATCTACATATTCTTATCTATCTCACTATCTACATATCATACATAAATCTTATCTATCTATCTATCTATCTATCTATCTATCTCAGTCTCTTCACATCTGTTTTAGCCTGTTCATATCTATCTATCTATCTATCTATCTATCTATCTATCTATCTAACCATCCATATTCTCTTTATTGAAAATATTGTTAATATAAAGCACATATCTATGCATGAAAACCTGTTGTCATAGTAACACGAAGCGTTCCCTCTTCGAATGGAAAGCCTCGTTTAACTTTAACAACGAAGTTCTACAATTTTGTAATTTTCTTTTAATTTTATGAATTTTTCATTTTTACGAATTAAAATATTTTCCTAAAGTAACATTGTTATTGTGGCTGGTTTGCTTCGAGTGGTACAGAGCCTGCCTCACGTTGCCACAAAACAACTTTTCTCATTACTCATGTATGCAGGTTGTGAATAATTACCCGAGAGCAGGCGAGTCTGAGTGTTATGGACAGAAAACTAACAGAATCGTGTTCAATGTTATATATATATATATATATATATATATATATATATATATATATATATATATTATTATTATTATTTATTATTATATGTGTTATATCCTGGGCGGTTGGAATTAACAAAAACGAACGAAAATAAAAAGACAATTGTATTTCGAGACATAATAAACAACTTTTATTCATTTACTATCTGAGAAAAGTATGGATTTGTTTGGATTTAAGCCATGAATGGCATATACAGGTCAGCTTAACTCCATGTTTGATTCAGAAGTGCCACGCGTGTCTTCCAGACAAGGGAAGTAACTTAATTGTACTTTGAGTTATCATCCTTTATAGGGAAGTAAATTAGCTTCCCCTAACAACATCCATTATATATATATATATATATATATATATATATATATATATATATATATATATATAAAAGGCCACTAAGTTTTTATTCAGTATGCATGTAGCTCAGTCTGTTTTTATTTGTTTTTCTTGTGAAATTTATTTCACTATCATATGTGATTGCATGAGTTCATTTAAGCCGAATTTAACTTGATTAATAAAAAAATAGAGGAAATTTCACGTCAAGTTCAGAAACTCAGTTTCTCTTGACTATTTTAAAACGTTTTTGCAAGATCGGATAAGTATTGGGTTAGCCAATATTGTTGTGGTAGGATCCACCTAATTTGCATAGTGGAGTACCGACCATATAAATATGGTTGGTACCGGGAAGAGAGGAAGGAATCAAGAGATTCAACCAGAGACTCTGCCCGACTGCGACTCAGTCAACACATTCTCCAGGAACGGTCTTACCAGGAATATACAAAAGACTATATGTAAATATTTTGTACACTTTCTTGTTTCAATACATATTGTTCTAAGTACATTTTGTGTTGCATTATTATTCCATGCATTAGTCAAGTTTCAACAAATATGTTCGTCTGCTTTAAGTAAATTTTCTATTGAATTAGCGAACGAACTTTTTGGCCAACCCAATATCTAATTTTCGAATTAAATCGAAATCCTCATTATAAGTCACTAGCTAACTAAATAGTTTAATAGCTCGATATTCGTTGAGGAGGTGTTTTACGACTACCATTGATCACACTTGTTACTCTAAACGTGTGACATTGTTCCACACACACACACACACACACACACACACACACATATATATATATATATATATATATATATATATATATATATATCTGTGTGTGTGTGTATTAATAAAGAAAGGATAAACTCGATCAAAAGACGAAACGCGTTGGTAAAGATTGTTTTCCTTTTGCCTTTATTCATATTGTCTTTATGAACCCCAATGATGAAACAAGTGGATGAAAATTACGACTGATCTCAACGGTTGAACAAGCAGATGAAGAAGGCTACAGAAGGCACCACTCGAAATTATAACAGAGTCAGCAGCAGTCCGTTGCAGTTTCATAACTGGATTCTGCATGTCTCATTCCATATGTGCCGCAGAGGAATGGTCATGAAATCAAGTGTGTGGATTACATCCGGCTAATTTGAGATCCACCTTAAACAAATACGCGCCATTGGCAGTTTCTTCTCCACATTCATCTCCAACCAACTCTTGCAAAGCCAAATAACGTTAGGGAATGGATGACAGGAGCTGGTTTTGATGAAATTGGAAACATCTAGTCCGGAACCTGCACGAAATTTAAAAAACAAAAACGCATTTATGAGCATAAAAGAAACCTCACAAAAAAAAAAAAAAACTTAACTAATGCATTAATCATACATAGAAATAAATTCAACCACAATTTTGATTTTAAAAATGCTACACTCATAAAAAAGAAAATAACTTACTCAGAAGGAAAATCCTCGAGTGTGCCACCATTGCATATTATCCAAATATTAATCTACGTCCAGGTTTTTTCCCAATATCACCTTTCTTAATAATAATTACTACTCTCTCAAGCCAACGTATACAACTATATCAAGAAATCAAAAGAAATGTTTAACAAATGAATATTAACAACTCAAAAATGAAAACTTAAATTAAAACATTTCATTTTTTTCTTCTTAAAAGCATATAAAAATCGCGCTTATTTTATTTGAAAAATATAATTTTTAAATTCAAAATACTGTAATTCCCAGCATAATATTATAGCTACGCCATCATTGTGATAGCCAGATATATCAAAATTCAAATTACCTAACGGTCAGTTCATACTCAGCACCTGAAGAATGCGTTTTGCATGAAACTCCGAGTCGTGCAAGCGGCGAGGAATAATATATATATATATATATATATATATATATATATTACTAGTTCTACGAAACTCACCAATTGTCTCTAACTACCCTGATGATGACTTAAGAAAGTCGAAAGCTTGGACCATATTTCCTGTACTTTTCTCTTCCGAAATGAACTTCGAACAATTTCTGATGGAATTTCTTCCTTGTATAAATATATATATATATATATATATATATATATATATAGAGAGAGAGAGAGAGAGAGAGATAGTAGAATTATGAATCAACACAGAATGGTGACTGTCACGCTACAATTTGTTTGGAGGATTGCATTGAAATTTGAAACCGACAGTCACCATGCAGTGTTATTTCCTATGTTTACTCTGAATCTATAAACGCTCTATCTACAATATTGAGCCCTTTGCTTTCTATAAATATACTAAATTTTAAACAAAATATTTATCTCTATGTTTATTTAGGGAATGTATATATAAAAGCTGAGTTGATATTTGGTGAAAGATGCCTTTCAAAAGCCAAGCAGTGTATTCAGAAACAGGAAAATTTCGTTAGAAACAAAGAAAAAAGTACTGAACTGTTACGAGTTATCTCTCTTACTGTATGGCAGCGAGTGTTGGACAATCTTCTCAAAGATGAAGAGACTTGAAGCAACAGAAATGTGGTTCTACAGAATCTTACTGAGGATACCATGGACCGAACATGTGAAGAATTTTTAGAGAAAATAGAAATAAAAAGGAAACTTGTACTTTGAGATTTCTGGGGCACGTATTGAGAAAAGCGGGCTTGGAAAATCTGATACTCACAGGACAGATTGAGGGAAAGAAAGACAGATGTAATATACTTGATGAGCTTGAGTAAATGAATGCTAGAACAGGGTTTAGGAGAAATGACAAAAGACAAAACTTATTAACTAGAAGGAACAGGAAGATGTGGAGGGCCATGATCGTCTAAATCTTGAAGGGACACGGCACATAAAAGAAGATTTTTTCTGATAAAACCTGTCGGGTTATCTTTATTCACTTGCTCAAAGCCATTTTTAACCATTGATCTTAGAAAGCAGTTGTATACAGTTGACAGTTTATATATATATATATATATATATATATATATATATATCTGATTGGGTTTGGTGGGCTCTCCATAATAAAGCAGGAAAAAAGAATACCAACTACCCAGGCATTATACTAAGCCAGGCATTATACCTTATAAGAAATCTAAATTTAAGTAACATGATATGCCCGTCTGTATGGCAGTGAATACTGGACAATATCCTCAAAGATGAAGAAGAGACTTGAAGCAACAGAAATGTAATTTGACAGAAAGATGCTGAGAATACCATGGACTGAACATGTGAGCAATGAGGAAGTTTTGGAGAAAATGTAAGCAAAAAGGAACCTTAACATGAAGCAGTTGAAATTTCTGGGCCTCGTAATGAGGAAGGAGGGTTTGGAAAATCTGATACTCACAGGACAGATTGAGAGAAAGAAGGACAGAGGAAAGCAGTGTGTAATGTACTTGATGAGCTTGAGTAAATGGATGGTAGAACAGAGTTTAGGAGAAATAACAAAAAGAGAAAATTTATTAAGAGCTACAAGAGACAGGAAGATGTGGAGGGCCGTGATCGTCTACGTCATGAGAGAAGTCTAAAATACGATACGGCTAAAACATAAAAGAAAAATAACATCCAGTGTTCAACTTACCAACGTGAATCATGGTCTGTCACGCCAATGGAGATCTGGTCGAAATAAAAAAAAACAATTTTCTGATGTTGCCGTTTGGTCAGCGAAACATGTCAAAATAAGAATGTGTGTGCGTGTGTGTTAAGAAAATTAATAACAAAGCTTTTTTTTGTGTGTGTTTTTTGAGCATTTCACCCCATGCAAGGTGGGAGTGCTACTCGTACGCATGTGGAGAGGGCCACAGAGAGTGAAAGTGAGAGGAAAGACTGGGTAAAGAAGGATTGAGGAAAGGATAAAAGACGAACCGTGTTCAAGACAACAGAAGATGACGATTGACGTTGTATTTAAATTTTTGAAGATCGTAGTTTTCCGGGAAGCAAGTAAGCGGAAGGGAGTCCCACTGCCGGAAAGTGCGTGAAAGGAAACAGTTGGAGTAGAAGTGGCGATAATATTTAACTATTTCAACAGTAAAAGAATAGGATCTAGATGCCAATCTGGTAGCACGCTTAAATTCATGTAGTCGTGGCACCATGGACAGAAGCTCATCGGTGCAGCTGCTCTGAAAATATTTGTAGAAAAGACAGAGGGAAGCCACATCACGTCGGTGAGAAAGTGACTGAAGTCGAGATGCCAAGTCAGGATCGATTATATTACAGATCCTTCTTTGGATTTTGTCAAGAACCTCGAGATGAACAGCAGAAGCACCTGACAAGATATGGTAACAGTATTCAACGCACGGGCGAATCATAGATTTCTAGAT